AAAATAAGATAAATAAAATAAACATTAAGAAGAAGAAAAGAATAACGTATAAAATAAAAGGAATGAAAAACAGAAAGGTGCAAACACTACTAGTGCGAAGTGGTACCAAAACTGAGCTAAGGTAGCTGAGGTTTTTCTCAACCTTCAGCTGAAAAGGCTCGGTGGGCCAGTGGAGGTCAAGCACCTGCTCAGATCCCAGCACCCGCCAATAACACCTTGCCATTCCATTCGTCAACTTGGAATTGGGCGATGGATGCATGAGGGTTACAAGTACTTGGTGGATTAGCGAATGGACGTTGCATCTGACTCGTCTTCATCTGCAATAAGGTGACAGCTACAAGATGTGCTCTCGTCATTTGTTTTGGACGATCTGCATGGGCTGGCCTTATAAATAGGCAGACATACAGCCCGAGCACTAGCATTATTTCTCTGGATCCACGTTCTTGTCAGCTCTTCACAAACACTGCCGTTGTCCTACTCCAAAAAAGATGAGGTCTACCTCGCCGCACATGCTCCCAGTGGGAGAGCCCAACCCACCCAACGAGAAGCATGTGAGTGCAATCTCGATATTGGTTCAATGATCTGATGAAAAGTACTGACGAGGACGAACAATAGTCTGTAAGCGTATCCCTGCCGACATGGGAGTCCGTCGCTGCTTGGGGCCGCCGAGAGCAATGGCTGTTGGACTCAATGCATACCTGCTATCCACGGTTAGCTACTCGTTCTTGATACCTCGCATTCTAGGCTCAGTCGGGATAGGTTTGGCATGCATCCATCGGTACGCAAATTGATGGATGCCGTATGTGCTCGACTGGGCACCCCCACGGATTTGAGCTGTCTGATCTTTCCCTCGGCCGATGCCGCCGCCAGGTGTACAGCCCGACTATCAGCTGAACACACCGACGAAGCGTGTCATACCGTCAAATTCCAATCACACCAGCCAGCAGACGAAGAAGCTCTACGATGGGCCACGTTCTTTGTCGTCCTGTTTCCACAGGCATGTGTCTCCACCGCTATGCATTTCTGGAAAGTGTTTGGGGATGGAATCGCGGGTCGTCATGCGGAGCATTGCCTTGCGGCGCTTCCCTCCATGAATTCTTACTCAAAGAACACTAATTTTGAAGCCTCAGCCGCCTGCCGAGATCATTTCACGTGGGATCTGCAATGGGTCAACTCGGCTGCGGCCGAAAAGGAATCTATCCGGAACTTGATTGCACGTTTGGTCAGTTCCGACCAGCCGGGCTATCGCCCTGTCAGCAGTCACGATGTCTTTCTCTACCCTAAAGGAATGTGTGCCATTGCAGCAGTGGCTAGGGCCTTGGTACCTCAATCTGCGGAGCTCTCTGAAGCGGTAATCTATGGGTACGTCAAACGGGCTCTTATCTTCGGTTGCCGCAGAGTTGATGATAATTCTAGATGGCCATACGCCGAAACTCCGCTCTGTGTCAAAGAAAGTGATTACAAACGATCTACTCTACTCAGCGCTGGAAGTAAACAAGAACTCGATGAGCTGGAATCCTCCCTTGCGGCCGGTCGTCGCATCCAAGCCCTGTTCTGCGAGGTTCCCTCCAATCCACAACTGCGAACCCCCGATCTGCCGCGAATTCATGCCCTGGCTGCACAATATAATTTCATTGTAGCGGTCGACGACACGCTCGGTACTTTCGTCAACATCGATGTTTTACCCTATGTCGATGTGATTATGACCAGCTTAACGAAGATCTTTAGCGGCATGTGTAATGTGATGGGGGGAAGGTGAGTGCCCTGTACCGCCGAGACGATCCAGACCACTTGTTGACGAAACTGTATCACAGCGTCGTTGTAAATCCGCAGTCGTCGCACTATACCACGATTCACTCAGCTCTCACAGCCCTGTACGAAGATACGTATTTCCCTCTCGAAGCCATGATTATGGCCCAGAATGCCTCCGACTTTGAAGAGCGAGTCAAGCAATGCAGTGCCAATGCCCACACAATCGCCAATTTGCTCGCGAAACATCCTTCGGTGGCTCAATTGTATTATCCTACGTTAGTACCCTCTCGGCAATTCTACGATCAGGTGCGGCGCAAAGATGGTGGCTACGGGTATTTGCTTAGCATTGTTTTCCATAAACCCGAGACTGCTATGCGCTTCTATGACCTGCTGGACATTTGTAAAGGACCTAGCGTCGGAACCAACTTCTCTCTAGCGATTCCATACAGCTTGCTGGCGCACTTTCGGGAGCAGGACTGGGCAGAATCCGAGGGTGGAATAGACAGGCATATGGTCAGAATCAGTGTTGGGTTAGAGAGAGAAGAGGATCTAATTGCGAGGGTCCAGGATGCGTTGACGGCAGCTACGGCAGATTACTGAAGTCGTAGGGTTACTCTTGGAATGGGTACATCGGAAACCTGGGAGACCAGGCTTGATTCAACAATAGCATCTCCGTGGTTAGTAATTACTCTGATCAGATTGCATAGCAGGAAATAGGAGTCTTCCATGTTTTTGGTTGAGAAAATGAGCATAGATTTCCTAGTATTCGTAGACGAAACATGTAGGTCGCATCCTCTGCACATACATTTACTAAATGCGGTGACATATCAACGGTGGATTTTTCGAAGGTAAGGCCAGCTCCGTTCAGGCATCAGGAACACGTGATTATAAGGTGAGGATGACAGTACCATACCCAAATTACGAGCGGTAGCCTCGAGTTGACCGGTATCACTGGCAGTTCCGATGTCCTGCTGCCGTAAGCGAAGGAGGCAACGGTAACTTTGTGACTACTTCTCCCTCACCCATCTTCTCTTCGCAGCTCTTTTCCCTTCACCGTCGCGTTTGTCCACTCTTCTTTCCTCCCACCCCTTCATCTTCTTTTCTCTTGATCTCGATATTTGCAATCGAGGACTTGTGCACATCCTACCTGAGACGGTGACTAACCCGTCTTAAGCCGGTGTGGGTCCTTTTTTTTGTTTTTCGAGAAATCAAAACAGATTTTCTTTGCTTTCTCTTTCAGCGCGTCAAGCTGCTTCTCGCTGAGCAACACAAGTTTGTCTCTACTTTGTGGAAGCGCACTGTAACTGAGCATATCGCCTGCTGTTATTTGTTGATTTAGGCTGGTTAATCACCTTTCGCGCAATCTTGACAACTTTTCGGTCTCCGGACAACTTCGAACGAATGAACCTATAAGCATCAATCCATACCAAACATCATGTCTTTCGGATTCGGAGGATTTGGTCAAAACAACCAGAGCTCCGGATTTGGAGCTGGCTCTGGCTTCGGTGGGACGAGTTCTGGAGGAGGTAGGTTTGCAATCCATCATGTCGCTGCGATTTTTTCTGCCTTGGACCTGTGAAACTTTTACCTTTCAACCCTCTTGGGACTTCCACTGGTTCTACAATCGGTCCTCACTGGTGCTCCTGACGTCGACCCCGCGATGGTTCCACTTGGCTCTCGACATACCAACACTCCGCGGATGTTTTCGACTCTGAGCAACACAGTTGGCGCCGCAAGAGAAGGGATCGCAGCTTGATTACAGTCTCTGACAGCATCTTCCCCCGTCATCTAGGCTTTGGATCTACATCGTCCCCATTTGGTGGCGGTAACACATCAGGCGGTGGCCTGTTTGGGAATACTTCCAGTAGCTTTGGTTCCGGAGGAGGTACGTGTCCAATGACGATGTGTTCATGAGCTTGGCGATCCTTTCTCTTCTCTGCTCGCCTCATGGACGGAACTCTTGGCCTTACTGTTGTTGCCATTCATGATACTTGGCAACCAACATTACCACGACTTGCTGGTGAATGCACATTACTGCGGTACTCTCTGATGAAGTGAGGGAAACGAACCAGTGAACTAAATATCCGCTCTGGCCATCGGGGATCTGTGTCCAAGGACGAGCTTTCTTTCCTCATATTCCAATCAATTTCTTCATATATTGTTTCTAGCGCAAGCCCCGGCAGTGAAACTGACGTTTTGACTTATTTAGGATTCGGAACGGGCACGCAGAATCAGTCAAACTCACTTTTTGGCAGCCAAAACCGGACTGGCGGCTTTGGGGCTGGGACTTCAACAACCGGTGGAAGTCTTTTTGGAGGCAGTGCAGGAGGTACAACAGCAACAACTACCGGCGGTGGTTTTGGTGGTTTCGGTTCAACCGGAAACACTGGAGGCTTCGGAAGCTCCAATAACACCACCGGTGGAGGCCTCTTTGGCAACAAGACTGGCACCGGCACCGGCACCGGCACTGGCACTGGCGCCGGCTTTGGTAGTTCAACTGGTACAGCAGGTGGCTTTGGCACAAGTGGCGGCTTTGGAAGCGGCACTACTGGCTTTGGTAGTGGAAGTGGAACTGCATTCCAGCAGGCCGTTCCTCCATCAGATGGTACTGGTAGCACGCCATTCAGCCCTTTTACCGAAAAGGATGGAAGCACAAATGTAACCAACCATTACCAAAGCATTTCTTTCATGCAGCCATACAACAAATACTCATTTGAGGAGCTGCGTCTGGGTGACTACCAACAAGGCCGAAGATTTGGGAACGGGAGCGGACAGGCCGGTGCTTTTGGTACGTCGCATTCGGTGGAAGCGGTTTTGGTCAACAGCAACAGTCGACTGGGTTTGGAAGCACTTCTTCCCCCTTCGGTGGCACCAGCGCCCCTGCCTTCGGCCAGGCACAGACCCAAACCACTGGTGGGTTTGGCTCCACCACTAGCAACCCCTTGTTTGGGTCCAATAAACCAGCGACCTCTTTATTCGGAGGAGGGGCTACTTCAACGGGAACGTCACAGCCCAGCTTATTCGGCGGGGCCACCGCGACTGCCGGCGGCTTTGGTAGCACAGCCAACACCGGAACTGGCTTTGGAGCTGGTGCATCCGGTGGTCTCTTTGGCAACAGCAACAACAATAATACTCAACAGCAACAACAAAACAAGTCCTTGTTTGGTGGAGGCGGTACGTCTACCGGGACAGGCTTTGGTGGCTTTGGACAGCAGAACACCAGTACGTCTACGCCATTTGGTGGTACTACTGCTACCTCGTCCCCGTTTGGCGGCGGTCAGCAGCAGCAGCAGCAGCCCCAGCAGACTGGGGGAAGCGCATTCGGTGGGTTTGGTCAACAGAACCAGCAGAACCAGGCTCAGACTCAGAACAAAGGGCTGTTTGGCGGTTTTGGACAAAACAATCAACAGCAACAGTCCTCGACACCTAGCCTATTCGGAGGTGGCGGCGCTACTACGGGAGGCTCTTCTCTGTTTGGCCAGAATACTCAGCAGCCATCGACTGGCGGTTCCTTGTTCGGAGGCGCGAACCAGCAATCCGGAACTGGATCGCTATTCGGTGGGGGGGCTCAGCAGCAAGGCCAAAAGACTGGACTATTTGGGTCTGGCACCACCGGTACACCAACTGCAACCAACACATTCGGAGGCTTTGGTAATACTCAGAATCAGCAGGCCGGAACTGGTGGCCTGTTCAATGCACAGAACCAGCAACAGCAAAAGCCCAGTCTTTTCGGTGGGAGCACCGGCACCAGCGGTTCCTTGTTTGGAGGCGGTGCTACAACCACTCCAAACACGGGCTCCTCGCTTTTTGGTAACACACAAAACCAGCAGCAGCCGCAGACTGGGGGTCTCGGAATGGGTACATCCAGCCTCTTCGGAAGCACGCAGCAAACACAAGCTCAGCAGCAACCTCAGCAGCCGGTGCCTGGTAGCCTGCAGGCCTCCCTCTTGGACCCAAACCCATACGGGAACCAGTCCATCTTCTCTGGTCTGCCTGCTCCAAGTGCTCCTAGCCCTGGTCCATTGGCGACGCCGCTTGCTTCATCTATCAGGCAAAAACAACGTACCCCATTGCCAGTTTACAAGATCACACCCAACGCTGCTAACCGTCTCGTCACACCGCCAAAACGCCAAGGGTACGGGTTCTCTTATTCGACCTATGGGTCACCTTCTAGCTCTACTGGTACTCCTAGCGGGCTCGGCAATAGTCTTCTGGGCGGCAGCTGCGTGGAAGTGTCAATGGCGGTCTTGGGCGCGCTAGCTTCAGCAAGAGCTTCTCTACGAGTAACCTTCGCAAAACCTTTGACCCGGAGGCTGACAGCGTGTTGTCTCCAGGAGCCCTTTCCTCTGGCTCCTCTCGTCTGTCCAGCGGTAATCTGAAGCGCCTTACCATTGACCGCAGTCTGCGGAACGATCTCTTCTCACGGCCCGCCAGTACACCTGCCGCTGCGATCACGAATGGCGAGGATTCCGCCCAACCGACGGATAAAGCCAAGAAGAAGGTCAGCTTTGAATCTACCTCGGATGCTACCACAGGAGGTGAGATCGTACCGGTACAGTCTCAGCCCTCCGAGCCCACGCCAGAAGAGCTGGGTTTCCTCCGCTCAATTCGCAAGAGCAATACTGTCAACGGGCTCAATGGGATTAAAGAAAATGGCACTCGGCCCGAGATGGAATCTGTCCGGGACAAGGATCTTCCGGCTGTCCCTGAAGACTCTGAGCAGACCGCAGTCACCGATGGCCAATCACGGCTGGCTTTCGTCCCCGGCGGCGATCCACAACCTGGCGAGTATTGGATGAAGCCCACCAGGGCTGAATTGAGCAAGATGAGCCGCGACCAGCTCAAGCATGTAGTGGGCTTCACAGTCGGTCGCCAACATTGTGGTCAAGTGACATTTGATGAACCCGTTGACTTGACCAACATTGATCTGGACCAAATCTTTGGAGGTCTTGTTGATATCGGCGTGCGGAAAATTACAGTGTATCCAGATGAAGCAATCAAACCCCCTAGGGGCAAAGGGCTGAATGTCCCATCTATCCTTCGAATCGAAAATTCCTGGCCGCGAGGCAGAGATAAGAAGTCCCCATCACCTCTCACCAGCGGGCCTCTTTTCGAAAAGCACGTCGATCGCCTGAGGAAGGTCCACAACACTGATTTTATCGATTACGAAACGGAAACGGGAACATGGGTTTTCAAGGTGCCGCATTATACTACATATGGCCTTGATTATGATAGCGATGATGATGAAGGTGAGAGCCTCAACCAAAGCACTTTGAGTGCTGCTCCTGACACACCGACTCCGAAGGCTCATACTCCCACCAATCTCGATAATACAATGACCTCAGAGCAGATGTCCACCTTCTCGACAGATGATTCTTTTCTCGGGTCGGTGGCTGGTATCGACGATGACACATTCGATTTCAAAAAGCGTAAATTAGTCCCAGGGTCGTTTGGCAACCAAGCGATGGAAACAATGGAGGATGAACACTCGAATTCCGGCGAAGATGAGGAGTCTTTTTTAGGGGAAGGCTCCACGGGTTCAACTACTGAGCAAGAAGGTGACGATGTCACTGAAAGCCAGCAGTCTGGCGAATCAGAAGTTGAATTAGATGAGGACGAAGAAATGGACATGGCAGGCACCTTTCCCTCCCTTCATCATACCGTGGAGCGCGATGATACCAAAAGCATCGTCAGCTTAAACGAAAACACACAGCCATCTTTAAAACCATGGAGTACGCCACCAAAGGCTCGTCTTGATCTTAGCGGGGACTGGGCTGCGCAGCTCCAACGAACCATTAGTCCCAGGAAGCAGGACCGCGACGCACTGCGTGAAATCCAGGCCAATGCCTTCACGGACAGGCCTCTCCACGATGATGACACCCAGGAGCCTGTTGCCGACACCCAGCAGAAAGGGTTCGCAACTAGTATCGATTTAATGAACTCTTTGTTCCAACAACCGCGGAAACAGCAGGCACAGTCTCCTTTGAAGGCACGCAATACGCAGCCTAGAGGTTTCGAGGTTTGACTCCCATTTTGCTTTCACTCCGTTGCTTTTAATCTTTCGTGCCTTACCGTAGTGGTGTTACAATATGGCGAATGAGCCAAAGCCGAGATCTATTGGGAAAGTGGACTAACTTCCATCTTCATCGCAGTGGCCGTATAATAAAAAGCCGAAGACATTCGCTGGCGATTCTAATGAACTGAGTCAAGACGACCTTGCTTTCCACCACTCGTTCAAGCCGCGGTGGGGCCCAGCGGATTCCATAATATGTGTCAAGAACGGAATGGAGAGCATCCATTCCGCGGATGGCCGTTGGGACCAGAAGTTCTCTATCACAAGCGAGGAGAGGGACATCACTCTGCTGGCTTCGAGTAAGTCTCCAGAGTCGAATGTTATGCTCGATACGCAGAAGAAGCAGACTACAATAAGCCGCGTTGATGATGTTCCTCTGGCCCGATTGACCAAGGCTGATTTCCAGCAATTCGCACAGACATCTTCCAGCTTGGCGGATTCTGACCAAGAGCGACTACTGTGGCAGTTGGCCAACATTCTGTTCAATGACGACATTGAAGATGACATCTCTGCCGGCGTTCCACCCCAGCTTCGGTCAAAGTTTATTCACCGCATCAAGAAGGATCGCTTCAGTCGACTGTGGGAAGGCATTGTTAGAGAAAGGCACGCACATACACTGGGCAAAGCCAATTCAGCCGAGGAACAGGCTATCTACTTGCTTTGTTCGCATCGGGTTGAGGAGGCGTGCAATGTCTTGATAGCAAGTCAAAATCTTCATCTAGCCACCCTTGTCGCGCAAATTGGTCGAGACCCCACCATCCGTGCAGACATGGCGAAACAAATCGAGATGTGGCGGCAGCATAACGTTTATTCGGAAATGACCGAGCCTATTCGAGCTCTGTACGAGCTTCTGGCAGGCAACGCCCTCCGCTGTGAAGGTAAATCAGGCGGCGCACTGGAGGATCGTGCTTCTACGTTCACCCTCACTGAACGTTTTGAACTCGATTGGATCCAGGCATTTGGTCTTCGTCTGTGGTACGGAATCACGGATGATGAACCTATTGAGGCCGCGGTTTCAAAATTCCTCACCGATCTTAGTACCGGTGATGAGCCCGCTTTCCCACATCCGTTCCGTCAGGAGAGTGCCCGGAAATCATCGCATTCGGCATCCGATACACTTGGTCTGGAGTCGCCTTTGTGGGTTCTGCTTAAGCTTTATTCAATGACTCTTGGAGTAGCTAAAGATATTCCAGCAATGGAATTCCCTGCTGCTCTGCTCCCGGAGTCCGTGAGCGGAGATAAACTGTCGAACCGACTCTCCTTCCAGCTGTATCAGCTCCTTGCCACTGCTGTCGGTCAACACGACGGCTTTAAGATTGATACCTTCCACGTGGATCAAATGGTATGCGACTATTCCTGGGAGCTCAGCCGTAGTGACCAGCTCGACCGGGCTTTATTCGTTTTACTCCACCTCTCACGGCCCGAAGATCGTGAGCGTGCCGTGAAAGAGACCCTGGCCAGGTTCGCTTCGCGGCTGCCCGACCAAACTACTCCTGAGGGAGTCCCAGATACTACCTGGCACTATCTTACTACAGACCTGCAGATTCCCGAAGGCTGGATCTGGGTTGCCAAGGCACTTTACGCTCGGGATATCGGAGATGCCGCCCGCGAGGTGGACTGCCTTGTCCGTGGCAAGAATTGGGATGATGCGCATGCTACTTTCTGCCGCATTGTCGGACCAACCGCCGTTATCGAACGTGACTACGCAACGTTGGAAACCTTGGTGTCAGGCTTCGGCGAGGCCCCCGAGCGCAAGGTCAGAGGATGGACCAGTGGCGGCGGTGTATATGAGGACTTCCTGCGCTTAGCGACAGCAAAGAGCGGCAAGCGGGATGCCACCAGGTTGAATCGCTTGGTGAATGCACTGGTTGCGATGGGTAATCAGATCAGCCAAGGATCGGGTGTCGAAGGATTGGAAGAACGAGTGGCTTTCAAGGAAATGAGCCGGGCGATTGCTAGCTGGACGGCACACGAAGATAGCAAGGTGAGTTTACATATCTTCGCTTCTCGTTTGACGCCTTTGAATGGTTTACTAACTTATTATCTTTTCGTAGGTGGTCGAGTTCTCTAGTGTGCTTAGTTTGCCTTTGACGGGCGATGCGCGAATCATGCAGACCGCCGAAATGAGTCGACGGTATTACGGTATCATCATGGCGGGTGCCTATTAAGCGTCTTTTTTCTTTTCGTTTTTGCTACGTTTCTTTGGTGTCATCCCTACATGTAACCTAGTGTAAATTTCCCCCCCTGTTATAATCCTTCTTGGATTCCGCATTCTGCAGCCCTTTCGTGGTGCTTCATGATCTCCGTTTTAGTTTAGGTGCTTTACGACAGTGTGTTAGTACGTGAAATGCGCCTAATATTTTTCCAAACTAGCCTATATTACTCTTAATATCTCTCTACCAGTTGACCATTCCATGCCCTCTATCCAGCCTTGAAGCTAGAGGGAACAGCCCCAGCATATCACTTTACCCCGTATTTCTGCGATAAAGACTAAATACCTTCGGAACCCACCAAGACCAAATATCTCATACCGTGAGGAAATATCCATTCGTGGCCGACTTACATACCCTTTACCTTGCATCAATCAAAGTCAAGTACAGTGCAAACAGATCAACCCAAGTAAGCCTAGCCCTATTTAAGAAGACGGTCCGCCCCGAAAGCGTCTCAAAAAGCTCCTGATTTTGGATTTTATACCCCTTCCAGCTCCACTTATCGGACCGTCTATGATTTTGTGGGGTAAAGAAAAAGAAAAAAAAAGAAAAAGAGGCCCAGAATCATCAGGTAAATAGTTAATATTTGGAAATTTTGCTTGTCTCAAGAAAAGTTTGTTGTTGGTGATATGGCGAGCATGCAATTCAGTTATGAAAACAAGATACAGGATCCAGGCTGTCGTCTCAGGATACTTTTAGATCATTCTGCCGGTGGTCTGGGCAAATATTGTTTGGATTCAGCTCTTTAATTTGCCTGTTTTTTGATGGATGAAGTTACGGAGCAATGATAGCCCTCTTAGTGGTTCTCCAGTACGATGGAGATTTATCGTGGATTGTATTGCGAGGTATCTTGAGATTTATTCTGCATAAGTTCATGCTTGTAGATCGAGTTTTGTGTGCACCTCAGATGTTTAACAAAAGAAATAGTATGATTGCTAGCGGGAACTGTACATGATTGGAAATCCTAAACTGAACATGAAAAAAAGAGAATACTCCTGCTCGAACATCTTTATCTAGAGAAACAGGTTTGATTATTTTTCCACCATTCATCCTACCATCAGTCTACAAAAAGCGGAATGATAGTTTACATGCCCGGGGAAATCAGCTTGCCCTCGGCCCTGCTGTTAGGGTGCCAGCCACCGGCATAAGGGGCCTGTCCGAGCTCCTGAGCATGCTCCTTGATTCTAGCCTCGAGTTCGGGGCGGAAATGACGGATAAGACCCTGGATGGGCCAAGCGAAAGCCTCACCCAGAGCGCAAATGGTGTGGCCCTCGACCTGCTTGGTCAGCTCCTGGAGCATGTCGATTTCACGCTCACGGGCCTGGCCGGTCTCCATACGCTGCATCACCTGCTGAGTCCACTTGCTTCCCTCACGGCAAGGGGTGCACTGACCGCAACTCTCGTGCCTGTAGAAGCTAGACAGACGCGAAATAGCGCGGACAATGTCGGTGGACTTGTCCATGACGATCACGGCGGCGGTACCGAGACCGGTCTGGTTGTCCTTGAGAGCATCGAAGTCCATGAGCTGATCATCGCAGACAGACTTGGGGATGACGGGGGTCGAGGAACCACCGGGAATGACAGCGAGGAGGTTGTCCCAGCCACCGCGGACGCCACCGCAGTGACGGTCGATCAGCTCACGAAGAGGGATGGACATCTCCTCCTCGACGGTGACGGGGTTGTTGACGTGGCCGGAAATACAGAACAGCTTGGTACCGGCGTTGCGCTCACGACCGAATGAGGAGAACCAGTTGGCACCACGACGCATGATAGTGGGGGTCACGGCGACGGTCTCAACGTTGGTGACGGTACTGGGGCAGCCGAACAGACCCACAGCAGCCGGGAATGGGGGCTTCAGACGAGGCTTGCCGGCCTTACCCTCGATGGACTCGATCAGGGAGGTTTCCTCACCACAGACATAAGCACCCATACCACGGTGAATGTAGACGTCGAAGTCGTAACCGGTTCCGCAGGCGTTCTTGCCGATCAGACCAGCCTCGTAGGCCTCGTTGATGGCCCGCTGGAGGACAGTAGCTTCGTAGTAGAACTCGCCACGGATGTAGATGTAGGCAGCGTTGGCGTTCATCGCCCGACCGACGACGAGACAGCCCTCAATGAGCTTCTGGGGGTCCTTGCGCATGATCTCACGGTCCTTGCAGGTTCCGGGCTCACCCTCATCGGCGTTGATGACCAGATAACGGGGTCTGGGGTCCTTATCCCAGTCCTTGAAGTTCATGAAAGACTATAGGGTCATTGTATGTTAGACCCTAAGGGTCCGAAGCCGTCTCTCAATGAGCACTTACATATTTCAATCCCGAGGGGAAACCGGCACCACCACGACCACGCAGACCAGAAGCTTTGAGTTCCGAGATAAGCTGTAATTTGGCAGCAAACTTGCATTAGCATTGAACCAATTCGAGATAGAACACGCCGCAGGATGATGGTCCATGGCCAATGGCCGAACACCTACCCAGTCATGACCCTTGAGAACAATGTCCTTGGTCCTATGCCAATCACCGTACTTCATTGCTGACTTCAGATCGGGACCATGGTGTCCGTAAAGGTTTGTGAAAATCCGGTCCTGGTCCTGCAGACCGCCATAATGCCGTACTGGGGGAGCGTTGTCCTGGACGGTCGCGAAGGTGCGGGCAGCCTGGCCCTGGGCTCGGAGGGAGCGGGAGGAAAGGTTGGCGAGGGAGGAAGGCGAGGGAGCCGCCGCTCGAGATATCATTGTGATAGCTGGCCCAATGGCTGCGGGGAGATCTGAGGGGAAGGGAAGAGTGGGAAGGGTTCAATGATGGAGACTCGCTGTCGTTGAGCTTCACGGGCGCGGCAATTCCTGCGCTTGCTGAATATCCGCCTTTCGCCCGCCGCTGATTGGCCCCGGCGCGGTCACGTGGTCTAGTGCTGAGTCAGGTATCCATCGGGGGTGAATCTGACTAATCATTATGTTTTGGAATTGTATATCGAACTATAGATCTCTTTTTCAACCCCAATATGTACATGCCCCCTTCTACTGTGGAACATACAGGCATGACGCCGTAGAGAGCATAACTTGCCCTTGGCCGGGCTGCCCTGCGGCCAACAACGCCAATGGCTCCTCTGGTACCTGCACACTTTCTTGCTCCGTAATCATCCATGCCCACCGAAGCCAGTTGGGAGAAAGCCACCAGTTATCTCCCTGCCATTCTCCTGCGAATTTCTCCAAGTCAGAGAAGATAGCACTGTTCCGTGTTTTCATTCCCTCAAGCATGTTATCAAACATGTCTAGCAACTGCTCGTCATCCTCGTCCTCGAGTGCCCATAGTACATCTTCAGGGGGAGCTGGGTAGTTCTCGAGAAGGCATCTGGCCCATTTACTGAGTCGAGATGGAAGTAAAACCGTCCCACTATCAGATTCTCCAGCGCTGTAAGCCGCTCTGATAAAACAGAGGAACATCGGGAAGGCAAAGGGGGATGTCTCAAGGCTTCCCCTCAGCATCGGGATAGCCCTTCCAGCGTTCTGAGTGACGCCCTGTAGGCACACCTTGCAGGGTTGTTGCATCTCAACGGGCAGTATCTCGAGCAAGTCATCCAACACAAACAGCTCTCCATTGTTTGCAAGAACTGATTGACGCTCGAGAATTCGCACCTGTATCCTAGACCGTATTTCTTCTGGGAACTTTCCTGGAGGCACACGGACCATATGGGAACCGAGAAGCTGTTTTGTCTCCTCCCAACTTCCTCCAAAGTTATGCTGTCGTGCCCGGTTTAGGGTCCATGCTGCAATAACCAAGGCCGTTTCGGACAGCATGATTTGACTGTCACGATAAATTTTTGCATGGGTCTGCTTGAGATTACCAGGGTTCTGTAGGTCGGCCGCTGAAGACCTCAACTTTACAATATGTGTGATTAACTCGATGATGATCTGGCTGAGGGCGGCAAGAGTGGTTCGTGAGTTCCCATAAGCGTCTGGGATTCGGATGCCTTGCTCTGAAATCTCAAGACCCTCTAATTCCCTGTTGTTGGCTGCCAATATCGAGACAGCGTTGAAGAGTGCCGGTGAAAAGATCGAATGCTCCATTGGCATGTCAGGAGCAAGAAGAGGGTAAAAGACATTGAACACATAATAATTATCATCCGTCTCTTTGGCCAGTTCCGGAAACATTTGTAGCTGCTGAGATCTTGCCATCTGAAGTGGACTGCCAGGTGGTGCTCGTAAGCTGACAATACGATAGTCACAAGGATTGTTTGGAAGGCAAAAGCCATAATTCATCATTACTGGCAAAAGAATTAGCTAACCCCGAAAGACCGCGTAGCATATAGCACTTACACTGCTCATTATTTCGGGGCCCGTAATTGTTTGAGATCTCCTGACCGGCAGCGACGTCTTCCAGGACTAAAAATGCAACACTCTCTTTGCCAGCGCGCCACTCTACCTTTGCAAGTGGACGATGATTTAGAATGTCAATGAAGGGTAGGAGCACAGAAACGTTCTCCTCAGGAAGCTGCGCATCGGGAATCACACCAGAGAGCACTTTGGCTGAGAACGCACGCGAAATAAAGATGGTCGACGCCCAGAGATAAAGATCCCTATATGAGACTTGTCAAATCCGCGCCGTCGACTATGAGCAGACACAGTTGTAGCTTATCACTTACCAAGTGTACTTCTCAGCGCCATCAAACCCAGCCTTACAGAGCTCAGTGTATACAGTTTCGTACTTCTCCTTCAATAAACTGGCCTTCTGTGCTCTCGCTGGGGATAGACTTGTGCCCTCCAGCCATGCCAGGTCATCTCCTTCATAGTAGAGAGGAGTGGTCAAAGCACCAGGCTGAGGAAGCGTCTTGATATACGGAAACCAGAAACCGTCCTTTCCCTGGAGGTACTGCCCGATCAAAAAGAAAATTGATGCTTCTTCCTGTCCCACCGCTTCCAGAAAGGCGCGAGGGAAACGGACTCCGTGCTCAGGGAAAGAAACGGAGCTTCCATCATCTGTTGTGAAACTGTAGCCGATAGCATTGAAATACGACATTGTGGAAGTCAGAGGCGTTCTGATGATATGAGTATTACTGGGGACACCATT